TGTGTGTGGTTTATGTGAGTCACTATCTATTTGAAATTCAGTTGATCCCATGGGATGCTTGTGGGGTCCGCGAATATAGAGACGAAGAGGGAATACGAGCCAAAGCCTGCTTGTGCTAATTCGACGCACGTGTGCGAGAAGGCAGAAAAAAAATGTCCGCAAGAGACGATCGAAATTGAAACGAGCTCTCGATTGCCGTTCACGTCAATTAGGAGCCTGACATTATCTCTGTAGTGAGTGCGAGGGGGATCTCTATTCTCATTCCCGTTCCTTCCTCAATCCATAGACATGTTCAGCTTTAAGCTCACTTTGCAATCATAGTGAAAAAGAACGGGATGCTCTAACTTCATTAACGACCACGTGTAACAGCTTGTCTCGCGTAATGTCAGATCCGTTTTATTGCCAGCGCGTTGGCTTGTTTGCGAGAAAAATTCGTTTATTTTTTGTATTTCGCCGTTCTCTCCCTCATTCAGAACTACATACATTCTATTAATTCGACGGAAATATCATGAGGTGTTATAAATCCTAAAGATCGTATATTTTACGAATCAAAATTATTTTTTATTATAAAAGTCCAAGTATATAAGTCTCTGTCGATTTAATGATATATCAAATTATTTTTTATCACTACAGTGTATATTGCTCTATGAGTCTTTTGATATATAGGTACCATTTGCCAATAGAAGAGACATTAAAGAAGACAAGAATTAGAACACGCTATATTCCGAATTACTATAATCTCATCTCGAGTTAAGATTTTGATAGCATCCCCCAAATCCAAACGTCGTTTTTTGTTTCACGGATGCGTTACGTTCAATCTCTAATTGTCATAATTTAATCTCTGTCTAATCTTCTAATCGAGATAAAGGAATCCGTCCCCGTGTGATACATCTGCTAATAGGCCTGGAAGCCTGACAATGAGTAAAAGGCGGAGTACGATGTAACACGTGCCAGTTGTCGAGCTGAATCGACAGCTAGTCGATACTAGAACTTTCCTTGGAAAAGGTCAAGCTTAGTCATCGTGGAAGCTTCTAAGGGTTCTTCTAATCTTCGATAGCAGAGAGAGAGGCCTTTTCAGGCTGGGCCAAGATGTAACTTGAACTCAAACTGCATATCTAATCTGCAATCCTACTTTTGACTTCCTTTGCAGTTCCTTTGACTTAATTTGTCTTTAAAAAAAAAAAAGATAATTTTGACTTTGCACTATATTAAATTTCATTTAATATAAAAGTTAAAAAAAAGGTGGAAGAGAAAAAGAAGAAAGATTGTAATGATGAAAAAGTGAAGTGATGATAATGATCAGCGATCAGTATAATTATTAAATATCTATCGATGTGCATTTTTACATAGATATACACGCTGATGCAAGTACAAACTCTCACCACGTAATTACGTGTCGAGAAAGAGAAAAAAAGTCTTTAGGATATCTATTATAAGTATGTACATACATATATGCAATCTTTTTAAATATTATTATTTTTATTCCTGAATTTTTTGTTTTTGTATCATTTTCTAAATGTGATAGAAGAATTTGAAAACAATTGATCGAGTAATATATCTCTTATTTTAATTAATACTCCAAATGATTTTTTCATCATCCACTTACTTTATCACATCGATTATTCTGTTACGAAGCGCATGCATTTGCATTATCTTTATCTCTTGTATTCGTAAGAAGAAAAACCTCATCCGCGATAAACGAAAATGGGATCGAAGTGGCGCACTCGATATCAAAAAGAAAAATAAATGTTCGACAATCTGAGAGAGTCGCTCAAGGGTAGATGGCGTTTATCGCCCTTATGTGCTATAAACGTTCTCTTAGCTTCACATCTACGGGAACAGTTTATACGTATACCCACAAATAAATTCTTGACACGCAATATCGCGTTCCGTTTCACTTCCGCGCGTCTCAAGTTATGGTCCAGATAAGGCCTGAGACACATTTCGTAAATTACATTAAGGGCGAAAAGAGATTTCTAGAAGGGACGAACTAATCGATTTTGAAATTTTTGCAAAATTAAGGGCAAAATCGAAGCGGCGACTTTTCATATATATTATTATATTTTAATTGAAATACATAAAAGAATAAAAATATAGTATAATTTTATATATATAACATAATGATAAGTTTAGGACTTATCGCTACTGTAGGTAATCATCCTGACCTGTCAATCGCACTTCTAATGCACGCATATGTGTGTGAGTGCACACGTGCACCTCAAAAACGAATGCCCCTATGTGCCACGCTGATGCACCGTTGTAATGATTCTCATATACTCCAAAGTACTCTTGAAACAAAGGGGCTAGAAGGACTCGAGGAGACTGTAGTGGAAGTATATATGAACTAGTATATACATGTAAAACGTAAGTACGAGTTTACGTGCGCGAGCGACTGCAAAAGGATGCTAACTGCAACATACTTTCGTTAGTTACTTATTGTTAATTTCGAACAGCATAATTTCAAGCATTAATTTTACATTCTAAATTGTATTGTTCTTGAAAGTTGAAAATTATTTTTGAAGCATTTTATTTGAATGATGGTTATAGTTAATTATCAATAATATTTGTTTCATAGAACGCGTTAGAACAATTATAACAATTTTAGAATTCTGTTATTATATCATTATTTTCTGAGCTTTATAAAAATAAATAAAATTTTGAAAGCAATTTCTCTAAACTTTCTTTATTTTTTAAAGTATAATCTATATATTTATAATTAGGCTTACAAAGTGTTTATAAAAATATTTAAACTCTATCATTAATTGTATCAATTTTTATAATTTTGTTGAATGTTGTACATATCGTAAAATTATTAAAGATAATTTTTATAATTTTTTTGTTTCTACTATATTGTCACAAGTGATAAACAATTGATAATGCCTCATAATCAATAGCCTATCTATTATGGAAATCGGTCGTCCCTTTTGCATTTCTACGTAGGCTGATATTATCTTATCTCGGACGGAAGAAACAATGAGAGAATAACAGAGGGGACGCGTGAGCACTAAACGTTAGTCTCAGTGAAGTGAGTGAATGAGTGCAGTCACGATCATTGATCCTCTCATAAGAGAGAAATTCTCTATAGACAAAATTCCTATTTTTACTCAGGATATTGCAAAGATCAAGATTCATCTATCTCTGAAATCTTGACTATGTCGCAAGGAATTCTTCGGCGGTAGGATATTTTTTTAATTAGAAATTTATGAAAATTTCTTATATATTAAACGTTTTACTAATTAAAATTTTCAGAAAGAATTTTCTTTATTTGTACATATAACATTTCGTTAATTAAAATCCTTTTAGAAAAAATTCTTTATATAATAAATATAATACCTTTTTATTAATTTATTATAATTATTTTTATTTCTATCATTTATTTCTAATTGTACGAATATTTCTATGTTTATTATCGTCTTATAAAGAAATTCATAGATAACATTATCTTCCAATTTCAAATTTTTTTACATAAACTTTTCTATTAGACAAAATATTAATATAAAATCAGAAAGAGAGAACATCTGTCTCTAATTTTACCTTGGGAATTTTCACGGTCGTCACTAATATCGCGACAGATCGATCGCTTTGCGTGATGAATCATCTTGTGACAGACGAGTGAATGCCTAGTCACGTTTTAACTCCCCTAAACTGTATATCTTTTCCTCCTCCTTTGTCTACTAGATAAAAAAAGGAATCAAATTCATTATGACACCCCATGACTGACAATTTTTGATAAAGCTGCTTTGAACACAGACTTGATTTTTATTCGTTGACGGGGACGAAACGAATGTCTTTGTTTAATCCTACGTGTGAATGACATTTCAGCTTCAATATATTGAAATATTATGACTTTTTTTTAATATAAAAATGGATCTTTGAATTAATTTCATTTTTATCAAGACACACATATTTAATAATTTATAATTAAATTAATTAAATTTGGTACATGTAATAGACTGCAGGGAGAATTTTCTTCTGCTGAACAATTAGAACTAATTTATAATGAGCAATAAATTAATTAAACAAGATAGATATAGTCGCATTAAATGCGATAAAAGAAGGGGTTGATCATATCCAAAATTTCTGCTTTGCCCAGCACCTTTATCCGTGTCAACCGCATTTGTGTCACGTACGCAAGGACAATTGAAATGGCTGACAAATTAGGTACTTGTAACGTTGTAACTTCTGCAAATCACTGTCGAGTGAATTAATCAAGAAAAGAAGCGAATGCTGTTGTCAACGCATGCAATGCAATCTCGAAATGATAAATCACCAAAGAATTGAAATTTAAAAATTTAACCTTTTTTAATTATTTCTATTTTTGTACATATATATTAACTTATAATAAAAGTAATTTTTATACAGAAAATAAATCAAAGAAAAGTCAATTTAAAATTATTTTAATATAATTAGAAAATTAAAGTTAATAATTCCGATTATAATAATTTTATAAAATTATCATTCATCGTTGTTAAGGAAAACATTATTTTAAAATTTATTTAAAATTTTTCTTCTCCTAAGTAAGATTAATTTATTCAGATTTAAAATCACTAATCTTTATTAAACTCACTAACTCTTATACAGTCTCCATAATTAATCACTGGTGTTTACGTTTCGAGATACCGCTCGCTCAACAAATTGCGTACCGACGCGGATTATTTGACAGAAACAACGTCTACGATTACCCGAGAAGAGCGAATCGGGTGGTAGTATGAGGTAGTGGATTAATCTTCTCGCTCTCGGTAAACACGAATGGTTTATTTTGTCTACGGTGAGCTGCATCGTGCATTGCACCATTCAAACGCACATGCAGTAAGTGAGCTGCTGCAACAGCCGCGCGACTGTGTACATCTAATGATGCGGCCAATTATTATGTCTTATTGATATTCTCAAATAACAAATATATGTATATTGAATATCTTTTTTAATATTAAAATATGCATAGAAGTTGCAAAATAATATTCTGATATTAATTAATAATTCTCTATAATTCTTTGTTTTAGGTGGTCTAAAACACGGGAATGGCGGCGTGGGTAGCGCGAGCAGTTCTAGAAGCACTAGCCCGAGTCAACAACAACCGTCTCAGGGTGGTCTTTCATTCATTCCGCAACCTAGAAGTCAAAATCCGAATCGACAACCCACGGCAACAACGCCAAGGTAAAAATCTACATCAAAAAGATGAACACTTTTACACTGTGATCATGTGGTTATTAATTGTTATTAAATGTTATTATTTTGAGAAATTAAAAATTAATTATTAGAAAACAAAAATTAATAAAATAAAATTTTTTAATTAATAAAAGTTAGAATTTTTCTTTGGAAATGCATTTGTACTATATTTCAAAAAATGTATTTTATTGCTATAAGTTTTATACATATATATAATTTTAAATATTATCTATTATTATATTTTTAAAATGTCTACTTTAATCAGAAAAAAATATTTGCGATTTATATTTATATTTTTGAATGATTAAAAAACTTTTTAAATATTTTTTGTTTTTTTAATTTAAATGTTTATAATTTGTAGCCCTCGAGCATCCACAGTAGGCCGACCCAATGGAGGTCTGAGATCCCAACAAGCCCTACCGTATTCTGGAAATACTGTCTCGGCACCTCAGCCAAATAAGAATTCTGTATTGGACAAGTTTAAACTTTTCAATAATAAAGATAAAAATCAAGAGCGAGGAAAGACTTCATCAGGAGTTTCAAAACGCACTTCCAGTTCTTCCGGATTTTCTTCAGCTCGATCTGAACATTCAGACAGTTCGACTTCCTTGTGCGATCAAAGTAAAGCCCAAGTTCAGGAATCGCCAAAAAGTCGTGCGTTGAAATCAAAACTGCAATCGGCTAAACCAGCAAAACAGGCTAGTCCGAAAACAGGCAGGAAGGAGCAGAACAAACCCCAGAGTAAGATTGCGCGCACGAACAAAGGTCCACCAAGCTCCTTGGAAAAGCTAACAACGCTCTATAATAATCCTGTCGTTGAGCAAGATGTTAAAATTGCTGCTAAAGCTATCGGCACCAAATTATCAAGTGACAGGAAAACTCCGACTCTTCAAGAACTGGTGAAGCAACCAGTAATACAATCTCCTAAACTGAATCCTTCCGTCCTAACGTCACCTAGACAAATCAGTCTTCAAGATACCAAAAACGTGAACTTGAGGAACGAACTACCGACCACGAAACTTTCACCCCGACCTAAGATGGAACTTCCGGGCAAGATATCGGATCAAAAAATTTATTTACAAAGTGTGAAGCCACCGCCGAATGGTCTGAACAAAGACTTTATGATGCAGAAAGCTATTTTAGCAAATACCAACGGTATTATCAAGCCATCCGAATCGAGGGAGACACTTGTTCATGAGAATGATACTTTCAATCGCACTCTAAGCATGAACCAGACAAACTTATCAGATGGCAAGGATTTTACGGCAAAACAAAAAGAGCCAGAAGTTTTAGAAGCTAATCACGAACAGCAATCAGAGATTGAAAGTTTTGATTTATCAAAGACTCGAGTATTAAATCAGGAGAAGGTTATTTGCGAGGAAGAATTAGAATCTATCGATACTTCCAATAACGATAAACAAGATTCTGTGGCAATGAACTATGTTAACTCAGCTGATGAAAAACTAACTAATAGTGAAAACGGACTAACGAGTACACCCACACAAAGCAATCTGAATTTTGGATCCAGTAAACCGTTAGCAAGTTTAAACAGTCCTCTTCACGGTCCCAATCCGGCCGGGCTTAGTCCGGGTTCCAGCATCCCGAAACCTACTGCTCTTGTGAAAGGCACATCGAAACCATCGAAAGACAATAGCACGCTCAGCGGAATGCCAACACCGACAAAGCCGAAGAGTGGTGATACTCTTCATCGCAAACTCGATCCTAATACGGTAGCGATGGTGTCACCGATGCCGAGTATTTCGGACCTTATGTCCGACAGCTCGCATAGCAATTCTAACAGCACCGGGCAGAGTAATTCGAGCGACAGTAGTGTAATTTATAGGCCAAGCAGTGAGAGCGGTAGCGAAATTAAGACGATCCCTAACCGGAAGATTGACACTACGTTTGAACAAATGGAAAAGGTCAGTTTTGGAATTTTTCTTAGATGATAGCTACCTTGTAAAACCGGAAGATATAATCATATAATAATATCTATACAAATATTTATAAAATTTAAGATATATAAATTTATGATTTGTGTCACAGGCTACTTAAAATCAAAGCAAAATCGAATTTAAGATTTGGTAGATATGAAAATTAAAACACAAAAACTACAAAATTATTTGAGTATATTTTTTATTTTTGTTTTTATTTTTGAAGGTGCTGTCGGAAAGTTCGACGTGCGGTGGCGCTTTAGCAGACGATGAGGCCGAGATGACTGTAAAACCTATGCAACCTCTTTTGCGCGGGTACACGCCTGGGGCCCGAGGCTTACAGACTCTACCAAGCCGTACTACGACACGACAATACACCGTCCTGCATTCATCGTCGCATCATCATGTTGGTAGTCACCACGATTATACCGACGTAGAGGTCGCTTCCGGTTATCTGAGCGACGGTGAAGTGCTACGTGGAGGTGGCATGAGTGTTGGCAGCAGAACTCTTTCGGATCTATGCGACGGATACATGTCTGAAGGCGGCGCATCCCTATACGCACGCAGGATCAATCCTTCCTATAGTCACGAACATGACAGGTAAGTCCTACTAATTTTTCTTTATTTTTTTTATATAATGATTTGAAAACATCAACAAATTACAATTAAAATTCAATTATTGACAGTGTTGCGCTTAGATAATTAAAAATTATCTAGATATAGATAAGATAAATTACACAAAAATGCAGATGATAAGATAAAGATGATTAATTTTTCATTAATCTAGATAAAAAAATTGAAAAAAATTTTATCTAGATAGATAATTTTAAGATAATTTTATTTTTAAGTAACTATTAGGTAGTAAAATAATTTAAAATACAAAAAATGCGATTTCATATTTTTAGAAATTTTATTTTTTAAAAACAAAAGTTATTCGAACATTTTGTCTGATAAATGATTTCTACGTACAAATTAATATTTGTTGTCTACAATTAGAGAGGCGCTCTACTGGCGCTGATGATGGCAAAATGATATGTTATACTTAAAACAAATTTCATGCGGATACAAATAAAGAATATCTATTTCCTTAGATTTATTTTTCAAATATGAAAGCACTTCAATATATAATATCTTCAAATAACTGGTGTTGTACTAATCTCAGTTTTTTGTCTATAGAACGAAAAAAATCCTCATCACTACTACTATTGGAAGTTAATTTTTTATAATACTCTTGTACAAATCTTAGATAGTTTAAAAAAGATAACATTTTTTTTATCTAAGATAAGATAAAGATAATCTATATTCTTAATAATATAGATAAAGATAAAATAAACCAATTTCTTCATCTAGATGATTATCTAGATTCTAGATAATTTTATCGAGACAACGAAAAATACTGATTATTGATAAATCGTTTTATGAATTTATAATATTTCAATACGTGTATTATAATCAAAACATTAATTTTTTTATCCAGGTAGTATTAATTTATTATTATATATAACAATTATTATTATCATTATATATATATGCGCATAATAACAATAATTGTTTTAATAATAAATTAATATTAATATAGTAAGAGAATAGAGAACATAATCTGTTATAATATATTATAACATATTAAAAGTAACATTGCTTTTGAATTTCTATCAATGTTGCATCAAACTATTGTCGATATTTTATAAAATCGATAATAAATCAAATCATCTCGAGAAAGAATTTAAGAAGAGCTTTGTTAGAGTTGAAAATTGCGTATCTTGCAATTCATGACTCGTAGGAGACGTCGCGGAAGTTTGCTAGATTGCTGATCGTACGGATTATTTTTTATCGAGTGAAATATGGATAAAGAAAGTGCGAAAATATACGATGTTTGCCCGCGCAAGAGAGTGACGATAAATTAACGCCGCGTAGTCGACGCCGAGCGCACGTCGAGTATTGATCAAGAAAGCTCGAGTCTAAGTCTCTTGCGAGCTTTTCGGTGAAAAGCCCTTTACCCTCGCGAAGTCTTACATCTCTCAGTCTTTGATGTGTCGTAAATATCTTTGTCGTAAATATCTTTATTATTGTTAAAATAAATAGATAGCATTTGCGATTATCTCACGCTATATAAATAGAATTTTTCCACAATAGAATTATATAAAAAATATGTATAGTATTAAAAATTAGAAAATTAAAAATTGTTTAATATTTCTTAGTTAATTTTATTTTACTTATAATTTTCGTACGACTATAGATTATTATAACTTTCTGCATATTCTGAGTGCATTTATAGTATAGAGGCACTTTCTATTTTAGACAACGTTTAAACGTTGTCCGGCACACAAAGTGGATTCGTGTCGTGACTTGTTCATTACGTTCCGCCACGCCCGTGCCGCTCTCTCCGTGTTTGCAACGAAATATTCAAGTCTGACCGAGAGAGAGAGAGAGAGAGAGAGAGAGAGAGAGAGAGAGAGAGAGAGAGAGAGAAAGAGAGAGAGAGAGAGAGAGAGAGAGAGAGCTTTATTATTAGCAAAGCTGTGTGTACCATACATTCAAATTAAGATTTCAAGTAACAAGCCGATCCATTAGAAAAATGCAGAGACGAAACGTAGGTGTTCTTCGTAGAATGTATTTTCTTTGTATTGATCATATGCATATATTCTTTTGTGCCATGCGAATTTCTTACACATCTATTGCAGCAATTAATATTCCGACTGAGTCTAATATATTATAGAATTTTATATCATACCAAATTCACCATTAAGTATTCTCCTTTTTTTTTCTTAAGATTAATTATATTCTTTGAACCAGTTAAAATTTATGTTCGATTTGATAATGAAAAATTATACTTTCGATTATCTATTCGTGCTATTCGCACGTACGTCAAATGCGACTTAAAAGTGTTGCTTGTGAGAAAGATATGACTGCCATAGACCGTATGGTCTAACTAATTTGACAAAATTCACGAGGTTAATTTCGGATCACTTCTAATTACTCAGCGCTTTATAGACTGCTTTTACCACGATCGAATTAAAGTATGGTCATTCAATTAATTCGAGAAAACGATTTTCTCCATAAATATCCACCGTTTTATCAAATTCCTATTGCTGAAATTAAAGTTTACTCGTGAAGCAGAGAGAACTTATCGAATTCAGCATAAAATAAAATCTTAAAATTATTAATGATAAAAAAATATAGTCAAAAATATAAATAGATATTTTTTAAAATATTTTCAGAAAGATTAAATATTCTTTTATACAATGCTTTTGAAATTGTTGTTTAAAAAATTTTTTTATCTTTTTTAATATATTAGTAATTTGATATATCAGAAACGTAAGAATTGATTTCATTCCATATAGGATAATTTTTATTTCTTTAACATATGTATAATTAGAGCATTTATAAAAAAAATTAATATATTTTATTTTGATATTTATTATTTATGTCGATTGATATCAATCACCATACATGTTCAAAGCTCATTACAATCGGGTGTGTCGAGTAACACTTGAAATATATTTCGTTGTTTGACTCTTAAATGTATATCTAATAATTAAAAAAGAATTTTACTCAGGTAGTATCACGCACTATACAAGATGTTGTTTGCCATAATATGCTCCAGAAATGCACCTGCAGGTATGGCGGATCCCTTCGCCTAACTTGCTTTGGCATAATCGAGTCCGCGGCGCGTATCATCCGCTTGAAACTCGACGCGCTTTTCAGAAATTCAATATACTCAGTCGTGAGATCCTTCCACGACCCTCATCACCATCATCGAGGAAAGCCCCATACAATCTGCAACAAAGACGTTTGGCATATTCTGACGATTATCGTGCGATCTTGCGGAAGCTTTCTTTTGCCGTCGAGAATACCTATCTAAATAGATTCATAAAGATAAAAAGGATCAAGTAAAGCTGCATTTTATATCTATGGTATATAGATATATTCAAACGATATTTTTTAAAAAGAATATTTTTATCAGAATATATATTTCGTTTGTAAATTATATAATACAACATATTATATTGTACATATTAAACATATAACAAAATATATTGAGAATTAATGACAATAATTTCTGCTATATTGTTTATTAATATCAAAATTATTCATTTATTTATTTCAATCGATACGTGTACATGCACCATATTATTCAACAATAAAAATATTAATTATTCTTGATACTGATCCCATTTGTATTTTTAATTTTTAAATTTATTTTACACACACACATAATTTTTTAAATTAGCTACTGTATGAATAATACAATAATTATAATAGTTTTTATTACACAAATAAATCTTATAATGAATATTATAATGAATTTATAATAATTATTAATTTTAATTTTTTTTTTCTATTGTAATTATATCTATTCTTTTTTATTAAAATTTTGTGTATTATTTCCGGCATTTTTATGTAATGATAAAAATTATTATTCTTTTTCAATTTTAACTTCCTTATAACGTATTTTCCTTTTATTTTGACACACAGTGGTGTATTATATTTGCTCTGATATTATAGTTACCATTGATAACTTTCGGTTATGTCCTTTGAAACGGGAACATACGCTCGCATTTAGCGTATGATAGTATACATACGTATTCTCGGATGTGCGGCACGGGTGGAGCGAAACACGGCAAACCAGGCTGTTACATATAGCGCATGCAAAAAGATAAGCGCTTTTGTCCGTTCTGACAGCAGCCTCTCAGCATTGTCCTACGACTCCTTTCCGTACTGTAGAAGCCGATTGCGACATGACGCATGCCTTTTCCTCCCTCTTGTGCATTCGGATGATGAGATGATGATGCCGCCACATATTGATTGTTGAAATAATAGTCATGAATAGTCATGTGAGTTTTTAAGCTTTGTATCCTTTAAACTAAAATCAGTTGCACATTTATATATGTGTTAAAAGGTAAATAATAAATCTGTAGAGAAATAGAGGATTTTTTTTATTTATATTAAATGTGTGTGCGCGCGCGCTCGCGCGTGTGTGTTTTGTGTGTGTGTTCTAAGCAAATATTTCGAAAAATATGAAAGATATGGAAAACTGTTTTTCAGATAAAAATTTATACGGTTTGAAAGGGAACGAAAATAATAGTAAAATTATTTTTAAATAATTTCAATTAATCCTCAAATAATTAGATTTTTGTATTAAGTTGCACGATCGTTATTTTTTTAAAATGAAATTATACATGATTTTTTAATATAATACCTTTAATTATTTTTTTATATATTTAATTATTAAAATAGAATTATTAAAAAATTAATAGATATTTTCAAGATACTTTAATATTTTATTCTAATATATTTTGATAAAAAATATAAAATATTTTTTAAATTATTAATTTTTTCATAATTTTACTTTTTTACTTTATATATAGCATAATTAGAAAAATTATATTCCGTTAAAATTATATATTTCATTTTTTTAATGGTGATAACTTTAATACAACTTTAAAACAATTTTTTAATTAATTTTATCATTTGTTCTTTTTTAAACTATACCATTTTTGTTTAACATATTTTTTCATATCTTTCATATCTTTTAAAAACATTTCCGGGAGCATTTAAATGGGATATTTAAACGAAACATCCTGTATATTATGCGAACCAAGAAATCATATTCTTTACTAGTCATCTTTCAACACATAAATATGCAATTGGTTTTATTTTAAAGGGTAAGATTCGAATTTAAAAATATTCATATATGTGACTATATTTCGGCGCGCGCAATAAATTTTAATTTTTAGAAGTTTTTCCATACCTGGTAGATAGATAATTATTTTCTATTTTTTTTAAATCTCGAAAAACAGTTTTCATAATGATTAATTTAGGATTTGCCAAAAATGGCTTTTTTCACATTCTCTTTTATACATACTATTATGCCAGAGTATTACATATCTATATGTATCTTCTTTCTTTCTTTAAACATTTATTTTTTATTGCTATAAAAATGTGATAATTAGAGACTCTTTTCTAAGAGCTTCTCAAAACGCAAGGTTCATTCATCTAGAGATCTAGACAAACCGTGGCGAAGACGAACGATATTTATTCACAGTAGTCGCGACGCTTGCGTGGACGCCATGACGTCATGGCGATCGATTCGACGTCGCTGCGCGGTGGCGCGATCTGACGGTGTCGGTGTGTTATTTCCAGGGCGGTTCGAGGGATTGTCAACGACGGAGGCAAGAGAGTACGTACTGAACCACCGAGGGTGGGGAGTATCTTCGTCCTCATCGTCGAAGTACGCAAAGTTTATTTCGTACCGGTGACAATTTTCATTTCGACTTTGTTAGCGATAAAACTGTCGCTCGGGGTAGTTTCTTTTGATTTCCTTGGTGTGACAGTGTCTTAAGTAGCAAGAGTGGAAGACTAGGAAAGGTATTCGAAATTTGTTGGAGGAAACGCGGCGGCTCAAGCTGAACGGTAATCTCGTGTTCCTGTTTGTCTGAAGCTTTCTACCGGTTAGTTGAAACGTTGACTACAAGGAAAAAGATGGGGTGTGGAAGATGGAAAAATTGGAAGGGCTTTTAAATGCTATAAATATATTAATCGCGTTTTTTCAGGGAAAAATTACTTTTGCGTTTACTTGAGGTGATAAAGGAAATTCAAATCAAATCAGAATTTTTTATTAATCAAAATTCAATAAAAAATATTAAAATCATTTTCTTGTCTTTGTATTTCTTGTTATAATTTTTAGATATAGTTTATATGACAAAGGATAGTATAGATTTGACACATTACATACGTTGTATGTAATGTTTCCATAATAAATAAAACTTGAAACTTGAGATGGGAAACTTGAGAAATTCATTTTTTTAGAAAATGTAAACTATTTGATATTTATTAATTATAATTACTTTTCAATCCATTATTTCTGAATTTTTATATTTATTTTTATAGTAGTAATTTAATAACATAATTTCACAATCTAATTAATTTTTAAAAAATTCATCTATATCCTATATAGTTACAAACTTGGCGATGACTAAAATTGCGTGAGTTTCTCACAAGATAGTTTCTCTATACGGAAAAAGATATTAATTTTTTCTTTACCAAATTCTGTCACAGTATACAAGAACGAGACAATATCTCGAAGCTAAACATGACATTAGAACTCGATAAAATTCATGCTCGTCACAATGTTAAAAGATCATACTTTGTTATAAAGACAAATTTTTTAATATTTATTAAAATTTTAAACATCTTAAACTTCGATTTGTAAAACTTAATTCATTAAAAATTGTAGAGAATTTACCTTCTGAAAAATTATCTTTTTCTTTATCATTTTATAATCTGTTTTTCCTTCTCTTCAATATCAAATTAAATTAATTTTCAACATAGTACTATGATTATATTGACGTTCTAAGAAAGTCAGAACTTTGTTTCTTACGTTTATAGACGACTTTTGCGAGGCTTCCCTTTCTCGAATTTGTTCTCCGTTGCAGACAACTTTTTAATTATTGACGATAATTGTTCTTGTAATTAGGAAGTTTCAGGAGTAACGAATTCAAGAAATGACATTTGAAGTTTCAGTTTACTGTCTAAATTTTCTGTAAAAGCAAAGTTACGCATGCAACTCGAAAATTGGCATGTCAATTCCTCCAGTTAAGAAGCTTTCTGCAAATATTTATTTGTACAAAGTGATCAGCGAGCTTATTGATCACGGAAATGATACAATTCAGAAGCTAATGTAACAAAAAAATTCCGATCTCTGTTGATAAAAGAGTAAGGTCCGGATTTTTTGATTAATTTGCAGTTTAAAAATTTAATCACACTTGATAATATAAAAATTATATTCTTTATAGCAATGATTAATTACTAGACAAATGGTTTTGTAGTATATCTTTAAAAGTTACTCACTATACAAAACTATCAGTTTAGACATAGTGACAATACAATTTTTATATTATTAATAAGTTAAATTTAATCATAAGTTGAAAATAAAAAACCATAATGCTCTCATTTCTATTAATGTGAAATTTACTTATTAATCATAGTTTAATTCTCTTCATCTTTTCCTAATTTTTAGAACTAGAAAAAGATAAGTAGACGTCTTTAACAATTTACTATATTAACTTAACACATTAAAACTTGAATGTAACACATAAAAACAATTAAACTTTGCTTAAAATAAAATTAAAAGATATTTTAAAATACTAATATATTCATGTATAATGTAGCTTAATTAAACTTGCTTCAAAAATATAATAATTATCTGTAACTATAAAGTCTAGAATAATTGCTCAGATTTCAATGATTTTAAAATTTTATTTAATAAGATCCGAGCTAGACTGTTATAGGCTTCGTATTTATATTAGTTATGTTGTTATATTGACGGTTTTTAGAATTGAATATTATTTATTTAATAAATTGCATAAAACACATCCATTATTATCAAGGAAACAGGGAAACGAAAATTTTTCTTTTGTAGTAAACAGTACCGAGACATTACCGTGTTTCCAGATAATAGAGCAAATTTCAGTAATTACGAGACCAGTGCTAGCTTATGGTGATCACATTCAAGTTCTTATTTCCATGTACTTTTATCAAAATTTAATTTAGCTCTTTTTTCTTATCAAAATGTCGAGCTCATGAATCAGTTTGGCCTCCGACTTAGTGTCGAAGTTAAGCACATTTTTTTACAAGGCGCATTAACCCTCGACTGACCACTGTAAGAACTGTTAAAATAATGATCTCCACCTAAAATGGCACATGCAAGAGAGAGAGAGAGAGAGAGAGAGAGAAATTTATAGACTTGCTACAAAATAATTTGACAGTTATGAACATGTTTATTATTTCTTTTTTCGTTCGTACAACGGTAATTTTAATTCTTTCTTGAGAAAGACGGGTTTTCTACAGTGTATTTAAATTAGTACATTTATAAATTAGTAGTGAATAATACAGAATAAATGAAGAAAGAAATTAATACGTAGGCACTGTTGAATTATGCGTATACACGCATATCTATTTAAATAAAGTACTTATATGTAATATTTGACGTAATAAAACACAACATATCTCTATTACGAAAAATCTCGCGATATAAACAATTAAATACAGGGGAAATATCCATAGACAATTAATAGAACTCTTTTCTTGGGTGTAAAATTAATAATTATTATTGCCGTGATTTACGTGCAGAGGACACGATTGCCTTCACGCCAGTATATAGACACCACATTAAAAAAAAACATTTACGCGTTTCGTGCACTATAAATCCGAATGCCGAATAAAACCATCATATACGTATTCATTCGTGTCATCGCATTGTCGCATGCTTTTTTTTAAACGCCACATCAGCAAAAGCCGTTACTTCAATCAAGCTATTTTTTTTAGTTCTTACTAAAATACTATCATAGAAAATAAAAATAATACATCTCAGAAAATACAAGTTCTCCTTGCTAATTTATAACATTTCGTTTATTGATGTTCCTTTTTTATCATAGTATAACAAATAGTGATAATGGATAAATAGAACAAATATATTTCACATACAGATGTTTATGCAGATGAATCAATGTTTTTTGTAACTTGGGAAAAATAACGCCGACGTAATAGAAAACGTCTGTGCAAAAATAGAGTAATGAGAGATTCACGACACAGTAAAAAAAAGAGCATTTATAAAACGGTTGTTGAATATTTTTGCTTTAGTAATGATTGTTGTTTGTGAGAATCTCAAAAAACAAAAATATAAATAAAATTTTGCCACATCGTACGGTTAAACCATTATTCTGCAGTAATAATAATGACGTAGTAGAAAATCGACGTGAAGTTTATATCGCATATATAAAGAGAATCATTTTAATTAATTATATTTCTTCTATAGTGTATATTGAATACACATTGCACATATAAATAAAATAAAATTTTATTGTATTGTATGATATTAAATAGTCATTATTTTTCGGATAATAATAGCGACGTTTCATTTGCATTGATTTGTAGGTACGTAGGTGGCTCGCGGCGAGAGCTGTCGGGGGTGAAGGAACTGGTAACCTCGAGGCGGGTACAGAAGAATCGGCCGTCAGGGATCGCGAGGTCGGATGGCGGCTGCATTGGGGGCGTCAGTCCGGGAAGCGGTGGCAGCGGCGGCGGCGGCGGTGGCGGCAGCGGCGGCGTCGTCGGCGTTGGCATCAGCGGTATCATCGCCGGCGGTCTTCTAAGCGGCTGTAGTGGTGGGAACGACGCCTTGGCGGAGCTCACAATCGAGGAGCTGGCTTCCATTCCCGCCGGAAATCACACCTCCGCCAATCACACGGGACATCCCTCTCATCACAAGGTTAGCGAACTCGCGAATTCGAAATCGATAGCGCGTGGTTTGAGTTTAAGGGTGTGAGAGAGAGAGAGAGAGAGAGAGAGAGAGAGAGAGAGAGAGAGAGAGAGAGAGAGAAATATGACAAAAGTTCGGAAATAGCTTCTATTAATTCTTATTTCCCAATTATTCATGTCACTTTCCGGCTAATCACTGTCGGTGCTGTTGATTTATTAATATCCTCTTTCTATCAAGCAAGAATTCAAAATTTTCGTAAAGAGAACCTTCCAATTGAATATAAACATCTCTCTCTCTTTCTCTCTCTCTCCTCTCCCTTCCTCCCTTCCTCTCTCTCCCTCCCTTTCATTATATCTTAATTCCTTTTATATCGATACCATATTTTAACTTAATTTTGTTATATAATAAAAAAATTTTTTTATTTTTTATTTTCCTAATTATTTTACTCATTATCGAGGAATATTTATTTTAAAAAAACTATTAAACAAAAATTGAAATAATATTTGCAACAAATATTATTATGATGAAAATATTCAAGGACTCTTAATATAACAATATTCAACATAAATTAAAAGAGCGAAGTAAGAGTCAGAAGTAAATTACATTTAAAATAATATTAAAATGTTAACATATTTAATTCAAAATTTGAAACAATATAAATATTACAAAAAATTGCTGCGCGCAGCATGTTTTTAATTTTAAGTAACGGGCATCATGTTTTTAATTTTAAGCAATTTTTTGTAATATTTCTATTGTTTTAAATTTTGAATTAAATATATTAACATTTTAATATTATTTTAAATGTAATTTACTTTCTGACTCTTACTTCGCCCTTTTAATTTATGTTGAATAATATTTGCAACATTTTATAGAATTATATTTTTCATATATCCCCTTTTTTATCAATTTTTTCTCTTTTTAATTTATTATTAAAACATTTCTGGAAATAGCATTTACTCTTTTTATTTATTAAGAATCTAATCCAGCAATTGTAGACTCATGGACGTATTAAATGACTAAAGAGACTGATACTGATAGTCATCAGGTATATTCTTGATAATTATTAGGATGAATAATTGGCAGATTCCATGATCAACATATTTGTATATATTGTTCGTTGGAAACAAATCAGTCATACAATGATATTCATGTAGTGTTACTTTATCCAAAATTATTTAACACATTTATCATATATTATAATAGGAAAGTTGCTATTTCAATGAAACGAGTAACGTTATTCACAAGACAAAAACATCATAATATAACATAAAATAATTTTCCGAAAAAACATTTACACTTCGATAAACAAGAAACTCCATCGATTAAAGATTTTTATTTAAAGCTTCATCAAAGTTGTTAATCAGTTTTCTATATCTAAAAATTATTTGAAGCACAGTTTAATTTTTTATCACAATATTCTTGATCGATATCAAATTTTTTTTTCAATTAACGCTCAAATGGGTGTAGAAGGACAAGAAGCAATGTGTGAACAGGCGTGATCTCACAAGCCTACACAGAACAATCAAGTCACAAAGCGTGGAGCATGTGTGCGCGTCAGCTGTTGCATTGTGCAGCTGTCGCATACTGGGTGTCCTACTATCGAAAGAACCATTTTTTCATTTGCGGGTCATTGCAAAGCTCTATTTTTAAGCACCTATACTCTTCTTCCCTCTATTATTATCGCATGCGACTTTTTTCTTAACAAAAGCTTGATTGAATAATTTCGAATTAGCAATCCAAAATTAATAACAGAAAAAAAAATAAATAGAATTATAAAAATTAACGCTATGAAATTGATTTTGCGCGCAATAATAAAATTAAAAAAATTCTTTCGAACCTTTTTAAAAGTAAAATTCTATCTGAAGTACAATCGTATGTTAATGTATACATATATTTAGACACAATAGACGAGGCTCACGTAAATTAAAATCTATAATTGATATAAACAATATTAAATATTCAATCTTACACAGAACCGTACAACACAACCAATAAGAAATAGAAATAAAAAATCGATCGAAGTTGTATCTTTATTACTTATGGTATATATTTCAATGTGATTATATTGCATGTACTATATATGTACATGCATGTACACCATATCTGTAGCTTTTATCGAACTACGCATCGAAATTTTTCCCGGACTTACAAACGCAACTAAACACATGAAATAATATCACAATTAAATTTTGATACACAATAGGTATCTATTAAGGAAAAATTTCGGCGCGTAGTTCGAAACTCAAAGTTTAAAGTATTCTATTCCTATAATAATTTTAATACAGAAAAACGTAGTACTAATTTTTTGAATCCTACAACGATAGGAGGATACGAACTTTTGTAATTTTTTTACGTAGATACTTGTCTGTCGTCATTGTTATCCTGTTTGTTTTTACTTCCAGTTTCTTATCTCGAAGAACTCATTCAAGTGTGCCAAGTTGCAATATTTTTCTCGCTTTAAAAAATTGTTGTTAAAATATGGAAGTTGAAATATTATTATCGATTATAATTTATTTATCTAAAATTTAAAATAATTTTTAAAGGAAAAAACTATTGCTGTTTAAAAAATAAAATTATTGTGAATAATTGAAATTATTAGAATACATATATAATATATAGATATATACCTACATATTGTATATATGTATATTGTACATGTATTAATATGTGTAATTTTGATTTCATTATCTTGAATCACGTGTGTACAGCTCTTTAAAATTAAAATGTTATTCATATTTTTAGATTTAAATAAATCTAAATGAAAAATCAAATAGAAAAATATTTGAGAGAGAGAGAGAGAGAGAGAGAGAACGGGCGAGAGAAGGAGAAATTAGTTATACGTGTCGCAAGCAGTTATGCAGCCAGGTCACGGCAGGTCGTCGTCGAATAGAATCGATATTTGCTGAGCGAAATAATAAATGCTCCTTTTTTCCTTTTGCTTCTTTGTTTCTCTCCGCCTCTTTTTTCACGGAAAAAGAAATTGAACCAAAGCAGCTTTCGACATTACGAAAATATCTACGATACTTGAGGCTTAACTGGAAATGTATAATTAGTCAAAATTATTGTTATATGAAAATTACGTTGTGTTCAAGTTATACTTTAATTAGAAGCAAAAAAACAAGTTACGCAAAAGTATACAACTTTATGTCGCATTAAATAATTCCATTTATTTATCTCTTTGAAAAAAAAAATTTATCTATACGTCCTCTTAAAAATTAGACGAAAAAATTTTTGTTGAATTAATTTTTATAATGATGGCCGAAGGATAAGCAGCATTTTTTATGAAGATGGATTACATATAATAATATTTCTTTCCATTAAATACTAATCTATTAATTATCCATTAATTAATGCATTACGTGCGACTGAAAGTCGGCTATTTTAATAGCTTTGAAGTCCGTCACATCGATATAAACGTCCCTTTTAAAAATGATTATTATAACGAAATAATAATAGCTTTACCTATAATATACAGTACAAAATAATATATTTAATCGAACTTTTATATATTTTAAAGATTTTGAACAAACAGACGTTTGTTTAATTCCATATTTTGTCATATCCAATTTTTATCTTTATTTAATAATATTGACAATTTTTAATATAAATTATTTTATTTTGTTTAATTTGTCTTTTATGAAATTATTGTTGCAATATATGTATATAATGGTTTATTTTTTTCTTTGTATTTTTGTGATTTTTTTAAATTTCTAATGCTACTCTCACTTTTTATACTTGTCTCTCACATCTTGATACATTAATAATTATTCAAAATATTTTCTTAATTTCTTTTTTAATTTCTATCTCTCTAGTAAACGATATAATAAAGAGATTATAACGGCGCGATAACTTTTTTTCGAAAGATTTTTTTCCTCGGTAATCCTCTCTCTAATTCGCTGGTCTTGGATTATCGACTTACTCAGTATCGCATAAGACCCATTTTGAATGAAAACTGTACTCAATGTAACATTATGAATGAAAGCGGTACTCAATGTAACATTTTCTAAACCACTTCGAGATAAGGAAATGGGAGCATAGCGAATCCGACTCGCAAGGTCTTCTTATCGCTGACCAAGGTAATACTTCTCTTTTGTACCTCTTTCGGGCGTAAATCAAATCGATGAAACGGTAATTTAAAGCACATAAGTTCACGAAGCACCATGCCTTCTGAAGTAAAATCCTTGCAATTTTTACTATAATTTAACACATAACATTTTAACTATAATATAATGTGTTATTTTAAATAAAATATAGCAAATTAAATAGTATTTTATTAATAAAATAGCTCTCTTTCTTGGAATAAAGGATTTATAAAAATGTTCAATAATTTGCAAAATGTGAACCGGTATGTACAATTTAAAAAAATTTTCGACTATCAGAAAGTGCAATCTGAACCTATAAATGTAAAATCAACATGATCTCTTATCTCAACTTGGGTTAAACTGTTATTTTGTGGCACCCCATAGCGAATAGGTGCAGTATTCGGGAGGGCGAGTACCTCCCGTCAGTAATATTACACGGTGCGCCGGAGAAGTGGAGGCGAGAGGGTTAGTGAGCTATGGATCGTCGACCCTCGCAGTTGGCGGTTAACGTTCAAATGCCTCGTACGTTACGTTCGGAACCGTAATCCAAAGGCGCTGGGGTGATAAAGTACTACCCTTTGTATTTTCTGGAGTGAAAATTGCAGTGAACGTGAATTGCCTTAATTGGAATAATATTAAGTATATCTTTGTAAAAGTGAAAATGGCGATGTGAGTAATAAAGAACTACTCCTTGAACTGTTCTAGATAGAAAAAGGAGAAAATATCGAGTAAAGAATTAATTAACGGATTAATGTCAGGCGTAACAGATATCAAGATGATAATAAATATGACAAGAAAATTTCTCAAGTTTTATAACGAGATTTTCAACTTAATTTAATGAATTGATAAAAAATTAATATTGTTTTGGGATGAAGAAGAAATGTTGGTAGAATCTCGCATATAAATTATAATATATAAATTTATTAAAAATTGAGTTTGTAAAATATTATTGTTAAAAAATGTATTTGTAAAAAAATTTGTCGATGACATAAAATACTTAAACATATACATTGCGAGATCAATTATCATGTGTCAGTATTCGTAATGAGATGTAAAATTATAGTAGAAGTGGATTTCGAAGCCCATCGTTGACAAGAACATCCCTAATTTCCCCATAGGGAAAATTATGTAATGGGCTTGCATTAGTCCTATTAATTAGTGTATGTATACACATACATCATACACATACACGCGCGCGCGCATAATCGATATCAATGTATTAATTTGTGAACGCGGTTTGGATAGACTCAGAATAACGCCAATCGTCGAACAATTAGCTGTAATATATTAATTAAAAGGAATATTAATTAATAGTTACTATCTATCGTAATAATTTGAAAAAAATTAATTTGATATGCCTAAAACATATCAGAAACAATCTTGTACAATCTTATTTTAAGAAAGGTACTTTACATTAAGTTAATTAATTAGTTAATATATTTATGGTAGATTAATGTGTGGAAGAAATTTTTAAAAAACACTTTCATACAGAAAATGTGGCATTGGCATAAAGCATTTTACCTTTTCATAAAAATAGTTAAAATAAAAATAGCAATTAAAAATTGCTTAAAAGAAAGGAGAAAAACAGCCGATCAACAAAATAATGGACGATAAAGTAAAATTATAATAGAAGAGAAAATGTTTCTCATTTAGGAAAGATAAGCAGAATTCGCAAACTTCCACTATAAGAAAGGAAAAATGGTAAGTAATTCTTCTAATTTAGAATTACTTAAGAAACAAAATAACACTAATTTTTCTTTGAAAGCATCTCGAAGAATTGCTTATTTTTTCAATCACTTATTTCTGTGCGATACCAATTTTATATTATTAGAATGTTTTTTTTTTCTGAGTTAAAAACAATAGGCTATCTAATGAATTAATGAATGTTTTACGATTGTACTTGTTATAATTTCTCATATCAAGAATATAATTTTGCTGATTAAATAATATAATACTATTGAAAAGAAATCATCCCTTGTTCGAGAATTATTTTCGAGACAATCGATATCATTCAAGACACGTCATCTTTTTGCGATGCATGCTTTATAATTATAAAGATGGAATATTTTCACGTCGACGATTTCGGAAAATAAACCTCGAGCCGTATCGTGAAAGAGTTTCGGAAAGCTATCTATTCGGAAGAGGCGTGCCCTGTTTATTTGGACTCTTGCGCTCAGTTCGCGTACCTCAAAGACGCGCGAATGTTTGCTGTTTCTTGTCGACGAATACGAAAAAACGATAAATTAAAAAAAATACAAAGATAAAAATGTGATGAATTTCGAGAATAGTGAAAGAAGCAAAACGTAGAAGTAGAATTAGAAGAATTAAAAAGTAAATGAGAAAATAGAAAATAGAAAAAAAAATAGGGAATAGTTAATGAGATAGAGAAAGAAAGAGGAAGTTAAACCCCCAAAAATGGACTTTGGTTGCTCGGGATAAGAGACTTGTAGTGTCTTTCAGTTTTCGAACATGGCAGGAGATACTACCGCGTCTCCTGATATGTAATATAAAAATAGAAATATTCAAATATTGTAAATCTAAAAAGAAAATAAATAGCAGTAAAAAGATAATTTTTTGAAAATTAATGGAAGAAATAAATATTGAGAAAGTAAAAATGTAACAAATATAGAAAACAAAGAAAATAAAATGTTAAAAATAGATAAGTAACGAATTCAGAGATTAATAAGGAAAAATAATTTTTGAATCATTAAAATCCCTGTGTGTGTGTATGTTTCATAAATTAAATACTTCTGACTTAAAAAAATTTGATATTACTTGTGAGAGAAAGTACATAATTGAAGCTTTTAATTCTTTTCATCAAATAAAGTGAAATGATTGAAAAATAAATAAAAGAATATGAGTAATCAGTGTGCGTGCTTCTCTTTACAAAAACTAACTGATAGAAAAAATGCGTTTGACTCGTGGATTCTTTGTCCCACGTTTATAACCTTTCCACCATGTGTACGTTTACGATCCTCGCCTTAAAAGCTCACAGAGCCTTTTTGCTTCTACCCCTGTGAGTCACCCACGATTCCACATGGAGAAAGATGGGGGAAGGGTACTCACCCTCGTTCGTCTTGATGAACATTCTGATGTGTGGGGATATCCAAAGATTTTTTATTTTTTATCCTGCATTTTCTAAAAATTCTTATATTGTTTAGATTACATTAATTACATTTTCGAAATTCTTAAGAAACTTTATAAGTTTTTAATTATCAATAATATTGAAAAAAAATTATTATATTTCTATACATTCCTGGAATTTATACTTTTTAATGACTTACGTACTCTATTCCATTTATATATATTTTTCACGAAAATGCAAAAGTGCATCTGTTTTCTCTTAATATTTATGTTATATATGTATTGTTTTAATATATGTATAATATCATTTTTTGTACAAAGGGAAGAATATATGATTTAAAAAGTAAGAATTATGGTAAAAATCGTCGTAGCGTCGTATCATGATAGCGTCCATGTTTTCAATCATGCTATGAGGGTTCTGACTTCTGCCAAGCTTAGGAATTGATACTCTGAACTCATAAGAATTTTTTATCTTAGTTTGATCTACACAATACAGCTAAATATTAGTCTCTGTTGGGATTTGGTTATGTTGAAACAAGATGCAGTCTTGTTAGTATCGTACAATATTTATTCAGTAGATTACAAAACAGAGAGTTTCTTGAAGACGACAACAACACTTCTTAATATCAAGCTGACATTCGCACGCACCGCGTAATTCTATTAGTTCACAGTATCGATTACGTTAGTTAGACGCTCGATAAATCGATGTCTCAATGTTCGGCGCGCCATGTTCAACAGTCTCATTTTAGATACAATACTTGCAATTAAACTCAATAATACCCCGAAATTGCTGTATTATATTAAACATTTTATTATATAACAAATTTAATAATTTGTTATATAATAAATGGTAATATATTTGACATATAAAATAATTTCCTTGTAGAATTTCTTTTTTATTAAAAATTTAATCAATTCGATAAAATATATATGATTCTGAATTAAAAAAGAAATATATATATATATACAATATATTGTATATATGACAATTTATATGTGATTAAAACATACACCTATGATATATAGAGAGTGCCGGGCGGAGGGGGAAATCAATTCGATAAAATATATATGATTCTGAATTAAAAAAGAAATATATATATATATATATACAATATATTGTATATATGACAATTTATATGTGATTAAAACATACACCTATGATATATAGAGAGTGCCGGGCGGAGGGGGTGTGATTGTGGGGGGTGGCGGAGGATCGGCCACCCCCCAAGCGGCACAGCAGAGTAACAGTCACAATTTGGTATACCGCGTGGTTGGTTCACGTGGACATCCTGGCAGTCATCATCCACATGTGAAAAAGTCGGACAGCTCTCAGCAGACCGAGAGCTCGGCTTTCAAGCATCAACAGCAGCAGCAACAGCAGCAGCAGCAGCAAAGCTCAAACGGTTCCAGCAGCAGTATCAGCTCCAACAGTCAACAATGGAAGAAGTACATCGAAGCGGGTGCCGCGAGAGAGAGAGACAAGGAGGGCGCACCACCCAGCCCTAGTCCTTCCAGAAGGTCACAGGTGAGATATTGTAAAAAATATTGGAATCTTTGATCTGTAAATTCTTTATATATTTTTTCATTGTAAAAAAATTGATCGCTAAAATTGACGATTCTATACTAATATGAATTGAATAATTATTGTATTAATAGTTGAATAAAGTTTTTTTATTGTATTAGGGAAATAGAGTTATAATTATGTAATGTAATATATATATGTAGATTTATAGTCTTTAAATTAAAATTAAAAATAACTTTTATCCTATTTATGCGTGTATATAATAATATTTATATATTTTAATTTATTAGTAATAATAATTGTATAAAAATATAATTTGATTTAAATGCAGGATAAACATCGGAAACAGACCATGGCCGAATATGCGAATGGTGAGAAACCGCAAAAGGTTTCGTCGGGCACGTCAACCAGCAACAGTAGCAAAGTTCGTGGGGTACCGCAAAGCTTTGGCTATGTTAAGAGACACAGTGCGGGAACCAGTTCGAGTCCCAATGGTGTCCAAAATGGTAGCAAAGATGCTACCAGAACTGCTCAAGTTAGCGCCGTGCCAAGGACCAAGGTAATGCAAGAATTTCTAAAAATTTCTATCAAATCTCACTCGACTTTCAGAATCTTTGGATTAATTTTTTTAACCTTATTATTATTTCAAGCTTTTACTTTTAGTAAAAACAAATACTTAGTAACTACTAAAGCAACTTATAATGTTTAAAAGTGATTAAATACAAAAATTGACTCAATAATCAAATTTTATTATTAATATCTTAAAACTAACTTGAGATTTAATTAAGAAAATGAAATAATCTTTTTCTGTTTAGCTCATAGTTATGCTAAGTCATATGAAAGAAATTAAGTTTGATTAAGTGCAAGTTCTTTGTTTGGATGCAGGTCAAGGTCTCCGGTGGCACACAAACGTGCACCACAGAATTGCAAGCAAATTCTTCGGGATCAAATCAGGGTCATCACTACAAGAGCTACAGCCTTACTGGTCCCAGCGCTAGTCAACTTTCACAGTCAGTTCGAGATCGTCTCATGTTGGGCTCACAGAGCCTGCCAAAACCCGGTAGTCCAGAATTCACCGCTCTTTTTGCATCTGCCCATCATCGCGAGAGAGGAGCTGGCATTGGACCCACGAGCGCGTCATTTTCACCCCGGGTATTGAAACCATCTGATGGTAGCCTCAGCGACACATGCAGTAATTACGCCGCACCTGATCTTCAGGGCTACTATGGCACCCCCAACAGTCCCTATACTACTTCATGGATGAGACACAGCAATACCTATACGCCTAGCGGAAGATCTCAAGGTAATCCCCCCGATTAAAATATTAATAACTTAATATTATAATCTGATTAAAATGATCTTAGTTAATAATTGTAAAATATGTAACAGAACAAAAAGAGCTTATTTATTTAACTAGAAAATATTTTTTCTTTAATAAATATGTAGATAATAAATGAGAAGAGAATTTATTTTAAAAATTTGAAGAGAGAGACCCACATTATATGATTAGTATAGATAGATTATCGGCATTAAAAATGTTTTGTACATATTACATATATTTAAAAAACATATTTTGTATATATTATATTGCATGTATATTTAACGATATTACATTTTACAATAATTTATTAAAAAATTTCTTTTTTTTTATCAATTTTTTATTTTTATTTTGAAACTACAACAATCTTCCAGGAATGGGTTTGTGTGAAGCGGATAGCGTAGAATCATTGGGCTCGCATCGTGCGAGCTTGACACATGCCCGTCTCCTAATGCACCAGAGAGATTCTACAGGATCCCCAGCGCCGCCCAGATTGAACAGGAGCAACTCTATCAGGTAAGAAATTCATACCATGTTTATTTCCATTTTCTCAACTATGTCTTTAATATAAGAAATCTTCGAACTACCGATATAATATGTTATTTTAATAATATTAATATTTATCTATTACATTATATTACAAGTACGAAAGAATTCCATCATATATCTAAATTTAAAATTTAACCAATATTTATATAATCAATATAAATGTTTTATCTAAAATATCATTAAAAAAATGAAAATAAGTAAAATATATGTTAAATACATTTTTTGTTTAGTTAATATTTTTTAAATATATATAATTACAGAACGTTTTTACGTTCAAAGACTAGTTTGGGAATCATAATTTGATTTGGGGGAATCACAAATGATAAATAGTTATTTATTTAATTGTAATGAAATGTTTTCAAAACGTCTTCAGCGTTTACTCTCTCCATCGACAAATAATTTTTTGTTTTCCTAGCTGGTTTTTTTTCTTATTTATTCTTTGATCCGAGATCGTAAAATAATGCAGGATAATTTGATTAAACGTTTTTAGCTATCTGCGGGACAGGACATTCCCAAGGTAGTGCGAAAATATATACTCAACGAGCCCATTTTCTACGCATAAGTATTAAAAAAAAACATGAACAGGTCATAATACACATATACACTTAAAAATTGCTCTCACAAGCACTGAAAAAATTTAATTTACCTGAAAAGCTCAGTTTTGATCGAATCCGTGGATTCGAAGAGTCTTCGCAACTGTTATTATATTTCAAAAACTAGATTGATTATATAGATCAATTATTCAAATTTAAAAAAAAGGTTAAATTAACAGAAATAAAATAAAGGTTTTATTTCTAAAATTAAGAATTAGATAGTAAAAGTTTTCGATTTTTAATTTTTATTAGATATTATAATAAAATCTTGAAATTTTAAAACTTAGAATATACAAATCTTAATTTAGAATTAAAAATTATGAATTCTATAATTTTTGAATCCTTATTCTTTAGGATTTTTGAATCTAAATCTAGATCTGAGAAATCTAGAATCTCTCTCACATAGATTTAATAAAATATTTGAAATCTCTCGAATCAAGAATCTCATAGATTTTAAAATCTTTGACTTCTCGATTTTTAGAAATGTTCGAATTCTTCAAATTTTATGTTTTCTAAGGATTGCAGGACTCACGCAACCACGCAAATATAATTCACCGAATGTGCTCTACGCGTCTTCGAAATGTATTGATAGTTATTTGTGCGGCAGATTCTACGTTGCCTATTGTTGCTAAAGTTCGTCGTTCGATAGTGTTGCTTGTGCATGCGCGGTAATGCTTCATGAATATTCCGAGTCGAGCAATCAGGAGCTATGTATCCGTTATATATTCATTTCTCTTGGCATTGTTATAGGAGTTTTACATAACTCTTGGAAGGCAATCTCATTTATTTGATTAAACAAACAATATTGAACTAAAAAGCTATTAATAATGATAATGAATTTCAACCGGGATGACAACACGGATCGATAGCTCTCGCTCGATTCCCGCGGGATCGAGTGTGCACGATTCTGCAAATCGTCTCGAAGTGGTCCTTGACTTCTTATTGAGTGATAGCAAGCTTATTTTTTAATTAAAGGTCCTTTCCGGGATTGGCTAATTACTTTGGCGCACACTCGGCAAATAGACAAGCATGTTCTCGTCGTCGGTTATCCAAGACACTCGAAATCCTCTTCTGAAACAGCACACGACTGGTGCTTTTGACCCTTCTTCAAGTCGGGAATAAATTTTCTTCTATAACATAAAGATCGCTCCTCTGTATCGCAAACTGTAAAAAAAAAAAATTTACCTGTAATTTGAATTATTGTATATTCTGAATTACATTTCAATTCTATATTTTAACAATTAGGTTCCATTAAAGTATTTTTAAAAAACTTGAAATATTTAAATATTGAATCTAAATAATAAAAGAATAAAGACAAATATACTGAAAAACGAGGACATGCTTATTTGACGAAGTATATAGTAGTAAAAAAGAATAAATCTACAAAATGAGATACTATCACAATAGTATAACTAAAAATGTACAATATTCTTTACAATATTATTCTATAAAAAGTCTACAATAACTATGTTTTCTATTATATAATACTTTAACTTTGTATATTGATTAACTGCGGTATCAATAAAATATCCCAAGCCGAAAGAGAGAGATGATCTAATTTGAACAGCTGTTTAGAAATGTCTCGAGAGGAATTTAAAGAACATGTCGTGCTTGTGTTTTTACAGGTCCACTAAGAGCGAGAAAATGTACCCGTCAATGTTGGCACGCGGAAGCGGCGCCTCATCGTCGGTGGGCGAGGAGGTCGGAATAGGTATAGGAGTTGGAGTCGAGCCGTATTACAGCGTTCCTGTGGGATCAGCGGGATGTACTGGCCAACACTGGTCCCAGCCGACGTCGCCGACGCCCACACATACCTCACGGCAGCCGCCTAACTTGTATCAGCACGTACATAAGGACGACGACAGTGAGTACCTGTATCATAAAGTATAGAAAGTAGTTAATATTTTTCGAAACATCTAAAAATATCGATTTTAACATAACTTTTGTAATTAAACTGTTTATAAAAGTAGAGTTAATCAACATTGCATTGCATTCTTTTTAATGTTATACAAAATAGACTAAAGTCCGAGGGGGTAACCACTTAATGTAATCGTGGGACACCGCTTTAAAAATCATTCTGAAATCTTCATGAAATCTTCGTATAATCATTTTGCAATCAGATGTAATCATGAAATCAGATGAAATGATGTGAAATCATATGAAATCATATGCAATCAGATGAAATCATATGAAATCAGCAGAAATCATTTTGAAATCCCCTGTAATCATTGGAAATCATGTGTAATCACCATGAAATCTGTAATGAAATCATGTGTAATTACTATGAAATCTGATAAAATCAGTGTAAATCTAATAAGATAGCAGAACATAAATAATATGCAGCCATGCTTTGTACACAAGTGACGCAATGTATGTTCGATCACGTTATCGATTCGATATATACTTTTACTTGTAATATCGATAACGACATCGATAAGTTACTATTTTGGGGAATCCCTTTAATGCACATAAGTGCGACTCGCAAGCACTGCGCAAGCTCTGAGTCACATGTCGTACAGTCACGCTTGTGTACATTATGTTCCACATGAGAACAGTTTTCGTATTGTTAATTTGTATACAATATAAACAATTAAAACGATTACACGTTGAAATTGTTCACGAATCAACAGTGCCGAATCCTAATATAAATAAATATTTTCTAATCTTAAATGAGATGGAGGGCGAGGAGAAAGGCCGACAAAATGGCGAGATAAACAAAAAGGCCTACGTTAATATTGAAACTCAGACTGAAGAAGAGAGTCAAATGTCCATGGCAACAGTGACAATGTGGCATATGATAGAAACGCGAATGGGACTGCAAGTTCCCGTATATTTAAAAAATATTATGCGTCTGGAAGGTTATGACACACCCATCGCTATACAGAGAATGTCAGGAGATAATATTGAAGAACTGGAGCTTTTTGGTAAAACAGAAATGTTAAAATTCATAAAAAAGGATGAAAAATACAATGACTATTTTGACAAATATTATATTTGTCCCAGTGAGTTCCGCATTTCAACCGGACATAAGGTATTACTCAGTGAAATACAGAAATTTGTTGCTAACAAGCTCTCCTCAGATAAAATGTATTTTACATCTGAATTAAAATTTGGAAACTCCAACTGTCAATCCCGAAAATTAACAAAAAGTATGAACTTTATTACGAATCAAAAGCGAAAAAATTATGCAAGCCAAGTGGCAAGTAAATCTCAAAATAAAGGCTTCTCGCCGAGCTCCTCGCAGCATGTCAGTAATAAATTAAATCCACACACTCCTGTTGATATCAATTTAAATGCTGAGCACGACATTCTTTATGGTTTAGTAATGGCATGGTTGAAAAAACAAAAATTAACAGCTGAAAAAGAGAGATAAAATTATACAAACAACTTGAAACAACGCATTAATTCTTAGATATTGTGTAAAAAAAGAAATTTAGAAGCTAAATTACTTATATCATTTACATAATATACTATACGTATACTATAGAATTAATTAATTAAATTTCCAAAATTTAAATCTCTGAAGCTAAAAAAATTTCCTTGAAAATTGATTCTAAAATTAAACTTTGAAGTAATAAACATGCAGTATATAAGAAAAATTTTGTGTTTGTTTCAGTTCATGGATCTTCGGTATCCTTGGTGTCCACCACAAGCAGTCTTTATAGTTCGGCTGAGGAAAAACAAGCGCATGAGTTGAGAAAATTGCGTCGTGAATTACTGGACGCTCAAGAGAAGGTGCATTCGTTAACTAGTCAACTTTCTACAAATGTAAGTACAATTTTCGAATTTTACTCGTGTATTATTATATTTGAATTTCACATAAATATGAATTGTATGTCAATATTAAAATTTATTCTTACTTATTCTGCTTATTCAAGTCTTGGCCGAGATAATAGTTTTCGTAATAAATTATTTGCAGTTCTTAGATTTTCATTAACATATACAAATAATGATTAATATTCTTATAAAAGTTGCTTATTATTAGCATCAAAAAATTATAAAATTGTTCATACAATTTAATAAACAATATTATTATTCTAATTTTGTTTACGAATGCGTTTTAAGATCGAAAAAAATTTCGGCGCGCGGTATGTGAAGAAATGAATGTATATAAATCACAAAAAATTAGGACTATCAATAAGACCAAATATAGAATTTCTCTCATTTAATTAGATTTAGTCGCATCGGTCAAAATTCGTATCATGTTTCTTACTTGTTGTGGCAATTATTTGTTTTCGCACCGATTAGCACAGAACTGTAATTACAGATAGTGACTAATTAACGCGTTCAGATCTGTCACGGTCGCGAGTGCGGCATGATGCAGTTAGTAGCGTGGAAACAGAGCAAATTGGTGCAGATGATTGGTTGTAATTAATCGACAATTAGTAGGCCCATGAGCCAGCAGTCTGTAATAGCTTTGAATCTACTCGAAACCTGTTGCGATGATCCATATGGCGTGTGTTCGATACAAAACCATTAACTATGGTAGTGCATTTGCTTTGCACTAAATTATGCATATATTACGTACTTAATATTGAAATTAGAACATTTTAATTTTATGTTAAAAGAAGAAGATATTTTAATACTTCATTTCTCGTGAAAAAATCATCATTTTTCGACCGCTCTTATGTCTAGAACGACTTGACCAATTTTAATATTTTAGCTCAAATTACTCGTAGCGATGCCAGGACATATTACGTGCAATTCAAAATTTTTTATATTTTAGTAGTTATGTACCCCCGAAAAATGGATGGTTATTCGAGATAAGAGACTTGTAGTGTCTTTTAGTTTTTGGCAGGAGACACTACCGCGTCTCCTGATTACGGAGTCTCTCTCTCTCTCCCCCTCCCTCCTCCCTCCCCCTCCCCCATCTCTCTCCCCT